CTGTTAGTTGCTGTTTGCTCCAACCCCAAAACCCCAAAACCCCAAAACCCCGTAGTGAGTTAGGAAATCAAATATAGAAGGAGTGTCTAAATGAAATAATAATTTAAGTATGCATGGCTTTCATTTAAGTAGAAAATAATAGCAAAGTAGTGTGAGCAGCAGTCAGTTTAAAAGCCAAAGGACCAGCAGAGGACAGAAATTTATAGCTCTAGGAACTCAGAAACAAGATCTGAGTGGGCCAGTTGCCTAGAAATACAAACAGCAATTCAGCTCAATACTTCTAAAGCCTCAGCAATAGACATTTAAGTATCTAATAAGATAAAGTAAGACCAAGTAATTGAATCAATAATCTCAGTATTTACCTTACATTCTACAATTATTTGAGATTACATTATAGAGTTTATGGCTGCCTATTCTTATCAGATGCGAATGACTATTCATTTGACTAGTACTAGCTCTGACATGGATTTTAGCAGTGAAACTATAGCTAAATAAGAGAAACTTAAAAAACTAAGGAGGCAATTACGATAAAATACCATTACTTTTAACTAACTGAGAGGTAATCCATAAAATTTTCTAATACACTAATAGCAAGGGAAGAACCGATCATGTCAGCTAGATAGGCTCTCGACACAAAAGCATATATGACTGAATAAGATCTGGGCTCAGTAGAGATTAAGAGAATAAAGAGAGATGCGGAGTATTAAAGTTGGATTAATCTTAACCAGGCTGCAATTAGCATCTAGAAGATTTACAAGGGAGTTACTGAGAAAGATTACCTTCTTAAATTCCTAGAAGATAAATACCACAAAGACATGACTGAGCCTTCACTAAGACTTTAGGCAATTTATCGCTAGGTTAGGACTCAAACCAATGCCAAGCAGGAGTACCTGATACAGGTGCTTAAAGACAAAATTACTAACTCAATCATTGTAATGCAGTCACTTATAAGGCTAAAGTAGTAAAGAAGAAAAGTCAAGATGGCCTATTTGATAAAAAGAATAATGAGGCAAAGGGAGAGGTCTGCTGTTATAATACAGAAACACTATAAGAGATATGCAGTGTAGTAGTTGTATAGCAGAGTAATAGAGTTTGAGAGAAACTATCTCTCGATTAAATGGAGTGTTCAGGAACCAATGCCGCATAATGTCCAGGTCATTGGCAGCTTTACCAATCCTCCCTGGGAGAAGAAGGTAGAACTAGACTACTGCCCATTGAGAAGGATATTTGTAAAGTACATGAGTAATCTTAGCGAGGGAACCCACATGATTAAGTTTATAGTGGATAGTCAGTTTAAATGCGATCCATACTTTCCTGTGATTACTGACTCCACAGGACATCTAAACAACATTTTAGAAATAGTTTCAGGTACTGAGCAATCTGAAAGATACTTCTCAAGGTAGCAGTCTATCAGTTCTTCACTTAAAGAAGGATTGCAAGGTTCATTAAAGAGTTACAAGAGATCTCAAAAATCTAGAGAAGGCGCAAATTAAATGCACATGGGAGCATTCCAGAATAGAGTTAAAAGAGGAAGTCAGGGATTTAATGCTTACATTAACTAAGGTAGGCAAATGCAATTCGACAAAGTCTCCTCTAAATCTTCCAAAGAAAAGCTTAACATATTCAAAAACGATAAGAACTATCACTTGGAGGAATTTGAGGAATTTAAGTATCCCTATGAGGAATCAAAGCAATCCAGCTATAGCAAAAAAGACTATCATTTTAATAGGATGTCTCCTATTCCAAGTGTGAAAAGAGACTTTATTGATAACCTTGGAGATGACTTGATTGATCAAGATTTTGACAGAATCAGTTTGGACGATCCCTCCTAAAAGGCTTCAGTTCTCAGAGAAGAGATGAAGCAACAGTAAAGAAGAGAAGAGGATAAACAGAGACTGAAGAGCAAGAACAAGCTTCTGACATATGAAGATTCTTACGAAGAGGAATAACTAGATACCAAAATAACTGGCTAATTTGGTTTAAACCAATTTGGATTTGGATAAAGTGAGTATTAAGCATCTTATAACATGCCCTAAATGATGGAAGGTATCCAGTACGATGACTACTATGCTCAGCATTACTACTAAGATGAAAATCTAGTGTCAACTTAATTAAGTTTTGGAAACATGATTTCTCAAAACCCAGATAATTTCCCTCTTGGGGGAGGATTTGGTCAAAATTTTGAGAATAATGAGCAGCCTTTAATCTCGAATCAGTACTACAATCTTATGCAATTTGGCTCTAACAACTAAGAGTAGTAGGAAGAGCAGGAAACTGAATAAGACACAAGAAAAGAGTCTTCTTAGTAAACTCAAAATTCCCAGAAGTCCTCTACTTAATCTAAAAAGACAATGTTTTGACCTCATTCAAAGATGAATTTCCATTAACTATCTTAGAACTACGACTCACTCTCATTTTATCAATATATTTACTCTAAAATATGCGAATACTACAATCAAGGGGTTTTGGGGTTTTGGGGTTTTGGGG